TGCTCAAAGTGTATGACAATGACCTTCAGTCGTACCGTTCCTTTAATTGTTGATTACAAAATTAGATATATTATTTCCTTACAACGCATCTTTACAGTCAAAGATCTTGGTGTGTTTTTTTTGACTGTAAACTCAACTTTAATCTTCATATTTCTACCATGTGCTTGGCTTTATTAAACGTTGGTCTAAGGAATTTAAAAATCCTTTTACTACCAAGCGCTTATTAACTTCGCTTGTGCGTCCTATCTTACAGTATTGCTCTGTTGTATGGTCTCCGCAGCATAAACTGTATCAAGATCGTATCGAATCGGTCCAAAAACAGTTTCTTCTTTTTGCCTTAAGGGATCTTAGCTGGGACAGTAATTTACGCTTATGGATCTTCCATCGTTAATCAATCGCAGGCCAATTTTAGGAATTGTTTTTTTTTTTTTTACATAAACTGATTGGCGGCTATATTGATTCGTCCTCTTTGTTGATGCGTCTTAATTTTCCGGTTCCGTCCCGAATAACTAGATACTATCGTCCGCTTCATTTACTTGTGTGCACTACGGATTATTCTCTGCATAGTGCGTTTCATGTATTATGTGTCAATTTTCATAGATATTATCTCGTATTTTCCTTAGAGCTCTCTCTTGCTAAAATAAATGCCCAGGCATAAGCACTGGCAAACATTTCATTTCATAATTTCAATAGTATTACTGACCACATTTGGCTGTGAATTGGGGCATGGTCGGACTGGCAAATAAAATACCCCCATTGGGTTGGTGATATTATTGTTCCAATTTGCTGTACTTTCTGTAGGCTATTTTAATTTTAGTTGACTCCAATTCAATATTCGTTTTAAATAGATAAACAAATTAATTTACTTTAAATACTTAAGTTTATAAACTGTTGTTTGCTTTTCTATTACATAGTACAATTATCATCGTCTTTATTAAAGGTTGAACGTGAAATTGCCATTATGAAATTAATCGACCATCCGCACGTTCTTGGCTTAAGCGATGTGTACGAAAATAAGAAATATTTATACCTGATACTGGAGCATGTTTCTGGTGGCGAACTTTTCGATTATCTAGTTAAAAAGGGACGACTAACACCAAAGGAGGCGCGAAAGTTTTTTAGGCAAATTATATCGGCACTGGACTTCTGCCACTCACATTCGATATGGTAACTTACTTAATAACAAATTAATATATTTTTCAGTTTTTCTTATATATACCCAAACTTGCAGCCATCGCGACTTAAAGCCCGAGAATCTGTTGCTGGATGAGAAGAACAATATTAAAATAGCAGATTTTGGCATGGCTTCTCTTCAACCAGCCGGCAGCATGTTGGAAACATCTTGCGGGTCTCCACACTACGCTTGCCCTGAAGTTATACGCGTAAGTTTGCTTACACAAGAGACAAAACACGCACCAAGGACAGATTAACAAAAAGACAGGCATATTGCAAGATGGCAATTTTTATTGAAATGAAACATTTCCATAGGTACACGAACAGCAAATACAGGTGCAGTATCTGGTGATAGTCATAGTAATTTGTCCTCTTTGTTGATGCGTCTTAATTTTTCGGTTCCGTCCCGAACAACTTGAGACTATCGTCCGCTTAATTTATCTACGTGCTCTACGGACGGTTCATGTTTTAGGTGCTATTATAACCTGAACCAATTGAAAATGGGAAATCAGGGTATAAAGGTTTTGTTAAATGTATGTAACAGCTGAGTCGATTTAGCTCTGTCCGGACAGACGGACGGACTGTCCGAAAAACATCGATCGGGATTCGAACCGCGACTTCTCGATCGAGCGTCATGC